TGGCTAAAGATTTGGCTCGAATATAGATAAACCTCCGCGAAGGTCACGGCAGTCACCAAGAACGGCGACGTTGGCGTTAGGACTCGGAGACGTCGTGGCGGCGGCGGCGGCGGTCGCCAAGAAGACGAAGAAAGAGGCATAGGTCAAAGAGCATACTGAGAGAGGCTGGTGAAGGCTTTAGTGTATCGTTGCGCACTGCAGAGCAGGGCTTCACAGACGGGCTTATATATGCAGTCTTATGTAAAACGAGCCTCGGTGTCCGAGTACGAAGCGCGCACGCAAGACGCCGTGTGGGGTTGAATATATAGCATCCAGGGCGCGTGATGTGTCGCGGGACCCGAGCAAGGGGCGCGGATGCACGGTGATTCAAGCAGACATCCAACACGGCGCGTGGGCGCGTGGGCGCACATCAACGCGTTTCAGTGCAACAGTCTTAAGTAAAACGAGTCTCGGTGTCCGAGTACGAAGCGCGCACGCAGGACGGTCCACTGGCAGACCGCCGTGTGGGGTCGAATATAGCATCGAAGACGTGCGTGATGTGTCGTCAGGTAATAATATGAACGAAGACCGACGAGTCGTTCCGGCCAATTATTCAGACCGATGTTTGAGTTCAAAATGTGCCAACTTGACCTGGGAATACGCGAAAGGATGTTATTGGCCACCTCTAATGGCTGAATATTTTTTTCTGGACGTCGACTTGGGCAGCGGCAAGTCACTCAAGCTGTTAGAGGTTAAAGTCAGTCAACAACGCGCACCAATAAATGACGGACAACGTACCAAGATGTGGATACAGTGCATGAGCGGCGGGAAGTCAAATCAGGGAAGAAGCGAAGACTCACTGGTATACGTCGAGCATTATACCAGCTCTGGAGCGCACGTTAGCGAGGAGCGTAGTACGCGCTGTGCCTTTCTTGAATTCAGCATGACGCCTCCGCTCGCCACCGCCGTCGCCTAGGGGAACGCTGGCAGCGCCTCGACGAACAAATCTCGTCATCGAGCGCTGCGCTCTCGGGCTTGCACCAGCTCGCGAGGTTCAACACGAAACCTCCGTATACGCGCAGAGATCTAGGCGGCTTCGGAGCTCGACCCTCCCGCATGCGCGCGGTGATCTGGGCGGCTTCGGAGCTCGACGCCTCCAGCACCGGGAACGTCTCCTGCATCTTGACATACCACCCGCTGACCCACTCGCGCCGCCCCGCGGCACCCACACGTCCTGCACCGCACCGTGCGCACCGGCCTGCGGGCCCACGCACCGTGACGACGCGCCCAATAGGGATAGCGCACTTGCGCGTGCGGGCCTCAATCTCTTCAGCGCTGCGCGCGCGCGTCCACGCCGCAATCGCGGTCTCGATCTCCGCCTGGCGCGCGACGCGCACGTGGTTCGTCGCGTACGTGGGCCCTCGGAGGCGCGCCGATCGCATGCATGAGGTGCGCGAACAGCGAGTCGCCGTTCGTGCTGACGACGATGTACGCGGGCCGGATGGGAGGCATGGGTAAGCGTTGGTGGGACGATCTCGCTGACGCCCGAGGCAGACAGACCGCAGACCTGGGGGGGAGAGAGTGAGGGGGCTGGGGAACGGGGAAGGAGGGTGCTCGCCTTGCCCTTGCAAGCACGCGAGCAAGCCCAAACACTGCCGCGCACCAGTCAGTATCGACGGGACATCAGCAGGCGGCGCGTCGCGTCACGCACCCTCACGGCCCGCATACTCGCCATACGCACAGCCGCCTGCTGTGCATACAGGAACGGCAGCCAGGTGCCCGTCCCCGTGCCTGTGCTCGTCCAGCCCCTAGCACGTAACCCCAGGTGCGGATGGTACTCACCGCGGACATGGAGCCGGACGTCAGCGACGCGGCGGACAGCGAGCTCGAGTGTCTTGGGCCCACGGGTGCCGTCTGTCGATGGAAGTTGATGAAGGCGCAGCGTGTCTTGCGGAGAGGACAGCTGTGAAGGGGCCAGGAAAGAGCAGAAAGGGAGGAAATGAAGGAAGTCAGGAGCGGTATCTAGAAAAAAAAAGCGAAATAAAGAAGATAAGCGAGGGATAAACGGCATGGAGGAACGGCATAAGGTGATTGGCAGATTGGAAATAAGGAGCGCCGGGGTCCGATGAGGGAGAAGATGGAATATATGCATGGGAGAAAGTAGAAACGGCAGCACAGAACAAGAGGATATGAAGCAAATAGGATAATTGCACGGGTGGAAAGCAGCATCGGTGTGCACATGCGCAAATAACGACCGCCCGCGCATGAAATAGGATATATGCGCGAAGAGTATGCAGAGCAGCGGCGCAGATAACATAAAAAGGAGGAGAGGTAGCAAGAGAACGCACAGACTGCAGAAAGGGTGCGTTTATGCTCGACCGCCTGCGCCTGCGCACACATAAAGTTGAACAAGCAAGGAATGTAAGGAAGTGCAGGCACTCACCGTGCTTGAGAAGGAACGTGCGGAGGCGGGGGAAGCCTCGGTGTGGCGACGCACGAGGGAGAGAGAGTGGGAGATGGTCACGGTGGTGGTAAATACAGAGTCAAGATGCATTTCGAACTCCGACGCGTCCCAAATCAAATAATTGGCGAACCCCAGAGTTTTGACTTGTGCTCGGAGTGTGCTGAGTCCCAAGTGTGATCATCATAGAATGAAGAAGATCGCGAGTGAGCCGAAAGGGTAGGTGTCCACGGGGAGTCCGCTTGCAATATGTGTGTCCATGTGAGGTTTCAATCATTTCGGAGTAGCGGAAAAAAGGTGGTGCAGTACGGGGATGGGAGCCAAAAGCCTCGGTCACAGCTTGGAGGGCGAAGCTGAGGCTTGACGCGCACGTGAAATGTGTTGGCAAGGCATGGTCCAGTGGATCAAACTTGGGATTAAGGACTCAGAAAAGCAGAAATAACACCTAGGTATTATAATCAAAGAGTAGATTAAGAGGGACGATCTCCGACGTTCATTATCCACACCAGTGATCACTCGAAGAGAGTGTGGTACAGGTTCATCTGGGCCCTTAGAGAAGAAGTCGGTCAGCTTTCAGGCGGTAGTGACTCACGTGAGCGAATGACGCGTGGAGTGGACATACCGGTGTGCGGTCCGGGCCTGGGACTGGGCGATGGGTCTATAGAGCGCGGCGAGAGAAAAGAACGAAGGGTAGGAATGGGCTTGCGACACTCACTGTAGGAGGAAGGGGCACTGGCCGTTGATGACTTCCGAGACATTGGTAGCAGTTCCGCCGTTGATTTCCTCAAAGCGGCGGATCTTCCGCACGACAACGGACTTGTCTATTGAACGCGTGAATCTTCAGTCTGGCATCGGTGTGTACAACATGACTCACCAGACGAAGTCTCGTACAGAGTGGTGTTGCGCGCCTCGTCCCATGTATACGTCCCATCCAGATGCACGACGACATCCAAGAACGAGAGACCAGGAATGATCTTGATAGTCTCGATGTACGAGAAGTGCTGTCTCGGGAAACCCTGCCCCGCTGGCGCAGCCGCGGCCGTGCGCACGAACGCGTCCTCCAAATTCCCGTTCACGTTGACCGAGTCAGCGGCGCCCTCCTGGAAGTCGGACGCGATGGACTCGAGGAGGATGTGTGCGCCCAATCCCTGGTTGGTGCCCAGGATGGGAAAGACGGTGGAGAGCGGCTTTTGGATCACCACGCTGAAGACGGAGTCGAAGTTGGGCTTGAAGTTTGCGGGATACGAATCATCTGTGCGAAATCGGCCTATGTTGGGGTCTAATTGTTGGAGGTGCGCACCTTGTGTCCTAGAATTATCAACTGCAGCAAGAAACTTCATTGCGAAAAGGTTTTTAAAAGGAGGCACGAAGACGGATGGTCGACTAAAAAGGAATTCCCGCTACCGATAGGAAGATTGCATCATTTTCAGAATAACCGACAAGACAGCGAGCCCTTCATCATCTGTTGCCTGGCTGTTTTTTATATATGTTTTTTGGTTCAATATACAGGTGGTTAGTGCAGTAATTTTGTTATTTTTGTCTCGTAGTTCAACGTTCAACGTTCAACCCTGCCGAACGCGGCCATCAGTTGCCATGCAACCGCAGGTGCGGAGATGAAAATCCCCCTACAGGGGCTGATCGGTATCGGATGATAGCCTTGATCCGTAGTTTCTGAAACAATTTTTATCGCCAAATTCGGAGCGGAGTGATGAACGTGAAACATAGTAGTTACACTCAATGCTCACGACAGAGGCCCCTATGGGCGCAAAACTCGGCTCTCCTTCACTTCCCCTACGTTCGACTCCGGAGTTTCGCGGATTATATTTACTTAAGTATATCTCCAATATGGGTATAAATTTTAAGATGATTGGTGACGGGTAATCTAGGGAGGATCAACTCCCTGCTGATCAAGTCCACTGATTTCAAGATGATCGGGTGCATACGAAACATTTGAGCTCCGCAAAGCTTGTTGTGACGCAATCAAACTCCGCTAAGTGTCAAATGTCCCACGTGACATGACATCAACAAACGCGTACTTTTTCACTGCTCGCAGTGCATCTGAGCATCTAAGTGCAATAGTACGGCACATTGTCGGCCTCTCCCCTTCCATTTGCACGCATTATAGGTTACAAATTTTTGATTAAAATGGGCTCCAAAACCGGTTTTTGAACAGTTTGTAAGAACTGGGCTGTTTATAAAGATGTTTACAAACTGTGTCCCCATAAGGTCTTCAATTTTAGAGTCCAATGTACTTATACCATATGTCTTTTGTAGGCCCCTTTGCAACTTCATCACCGTTGGGCATCAGAGTGTCGCAAAGCTACATTTTTTTATTTTTTTATTTTTTAAAAAGAATAAATTACATAAAGAGACTCTTCCCTCAGCGTGAATTGCAAGGAAGCAATCCATAACCCCTTAGAGATGTCGCAGTAGCATTCGGCATTGGCGGCGAGAAACTTTTGTGTGTGATGTGCTCCTGTTCCGCTGGCCGGGTCACGTGCAAAGGTCGTTCTGCACGCTGGCCAAGCTATGTCTGCTGTCCTGTCTCTAGCACTATATCGCATTAGTAGTGTAACGGTTCAACATTGAGTCTTCCCATGATTGTGTAATCCACGATTATGTAATGGCTTAGCTCCGGGTTCGACTCCCGGCTGATGCATAATGGACACTTTCTTATGTATATTTTTACCGATTTTTACCATTGTGATAACAATCAAAAATTGCTCTCGCAAGTTTCAGAACTGTTAATTCACTTTGAGTTTATATCGTAGGAGCAACGATGACGACCTGGATCATATGTTGTCTGCCTTTCTGCATTGGTGTGGTAAGAGTCGGAACATGGGCATTGAAGATGCCCGGCAAGAGTCCATATCCATGGCAAAGATGGCCCTAGATCCATTGAAAGCGCAGTTGCAACGCGTGGTTAGCTTCTAAACGTCTCCCTTGGTTGCGATCGTCCCTTCTCGATACTCGGCTGGCGTATGCAGATGGACGTCCGCGATGATGGGACCCCGGCGCTCCTCGGCCCTGTTCAAAACCATTTTTATTATCCATATAAGCATTCCCGAAAACGATGTCCGCGTGCCGAGTCAACCAAACTCCAATTATATGTGCATTCAAAAAGGTAATTTGGTCTCACGCGCTGCCTCCGCTCTTGTCGACATCTTTCTCGGCGAGCCAATGACGAGGGTGTATACTAAGCTAGAGAACCAGAAGCCGAAGTGCAGGGTCCACAGGTGCGCTAGGTTTCGCCAGGTGACTCATCGCCGGGTGCTTCTGTTTTGTTTACCAGGACAGTGCTTGTCGGTACGTTGTACCAAGCAATACACGCCGGCAAGGAGTCGCGGAATTCGAATCCATTGGGACTCAACACGTTTGCCTCCGATCCACAATTTTCTAATACATAACTTTTTTGTTTGGCTTGACCGTGACATTATTTAATGTTTTAGGTTGAATAGACTTTATTTGAGCTCCGTTTTCCCCGCACTGGCTGAGTGCCCAGTCACGGGTAAAGATGAAGCGCGGTGTGCTTATGGGCCCTGCCATTTATGTACTTATTGGCCATCTATAGCAGTTTGCAAATAGTTGGCGGGTTCAATCCCGTGCATTTTCATGCATTTTGATGGCCACAGTAAATGTTTCCTTCCCTCGACCAATATTTATCGTTGAGGGATGTTTCTATGCCCAAAATCTACCGTTCAACGAGGCGCGTTTTATGGTTCAAGAATTGGAGTGAAATTCCAAGGTCTCGTCATCGCATTACCTGGCAGGCGCGTCATTTTATGCGCAAGAACCACTGCGACTCAGGAAACTTCGGACAGAAAAAATGTTCATATTACCTGTAGCTATGTCCCTACAAAATTTCAACCTCATCCGCGGTGGTTTGCGGGTGATAGAGCGCCAGTGGGCACAGTAGGCACCGCATCATGGTGGATCAAGGCTTGATGATATGAAGGAAGTTGAGAGAAAAGAGTGGAGAATGGACGGACGGGCTGCCCGAGTGTACAAACATGGTGGCGAGGAGTTTGGAAGACGTGATCAAAGGTTGGCCGTGATTGGAAGGTCCTTGGCTGGGCTTGCAATCCCCTCGATTGATCCGGCACTTTTCGTGATGTATTTAGACGAGAAACCGCCAAAAACCACTGAAGCCTCAACAAAATTACGGTCCATGGCATGGACAGTATATAAAAGTATACTCTATAAGCCGGACTCAAATGTGTAGAGTATGCTTTTATATACTAATGTCGAAGTTACGCGAAGTTCAGCGCGATCACGTGGAAACCCAACATAAGTAGCTTTGTTTCTGTGACCTCGTGAAGTATACGTATGATTGTTGGTCACAGAACAAGGTCTATGTTTTAAGGGGCTGCTAACGTGAGCACATCTTTCTTCGTCTGCACCGCCATCAGCGCCGCCAGTCGACGGAGTAGGATCCTCGTCCTCTCGCCTTTCAGCCAACCCGGAGCTCTCGGGTTCTTACTTTCATTTTGGATTCTTCACCCTCTGGCTGTATTGTTAGGCCTCGGTACGGGTATCTGCCATGGAGCCCGTCCCTCAGCCTTGGGGGAGTTTTCCGCCGGGTTTTCCTTGACGTCCCGTTGGCGAGGAATAACGAAAACAGTGGGACTGGGACTCGCGCAGTCCCATTTCGATGGGCTTGAGTCCCATTCTCTGGCCTGCCAGTGGGACTCGGGTCTGATGGTTCACATCAAAGTGGGATTCGGGACCAAGATGCTTGATGGACAGTTTGATGTCCGTATCGGCACCAGCTCTTGATCACAGCCAATATCTAGGCTCGTCAGCCCATTGTCTGGCTGATCCGGATTTTGATGCATTCTCACACTGCTTTTAGGTAGAAGGATATACCTACTATGTGCTCCACTATGACATGAATGGGGATATCCAAAAAGTATGTACTGTCCATTCAGCTACAAGCGAATTCCCGTGACCATAGAGGCTGCGCGCACACTCCCATCAGTGTGTGCAGGCCGGTGCGAGGCGACAGCGGTGGCGGACGCACTCATGGGAGCACGTACTGGGCAATGCAGGGCAGCGGCGTCGGCGTCGGGTGTCGAGAGCGGGCCCGGGCCCACACATGCTCCCAAGCTTGCGCGGGTCGGTGCGAGGCGGAGGCAGCGGCGGGCATCAAATGCGAGCCGCCCATGCGCGGCTATGAGCATTCCAGTGCACGCACCGGTGCGCAGCGATGGCGGTGGCGGGCGTCAATTGCGAACCCGCGGGGAGCGTGCGCGGGTGGTGCAGTGTGGCGGCGCGGGGGCCACGCTGGGTGAATGAGCCCACACACACTCAAGGGATCGTGCGCAGGGCGGGGGTGAACCAGGGAGGCGGCGGCGCAAGGGGTCGAGACATCATTATTCAAGTTGAGCGTGCACAGTGCGGGGCAATGCGAGGTGTCAAAAACGAGCCCGCAGTGCAGTGTGGCGGCGCCGGGTGTCGAGAATGAGCCCGTGCACACTCAAAAGCGCAGGGCGGGGGTGAACCAGGGAGGCGGCGGCGCAAGGGGTCGAGACATTATTATTCAAGTTGAGCGTGCACAGTGCGGGGCAATGCGAGGTGTCAAAAACGAGCCCGCAGTGCAGTGTGGCGGCGCCGGGTGTCGAGAATGAGCCCGTGCACACTCAAAAGCGCAGGGCGGCGGCGCGGAAGGGCGCTGGGCGTCGAAAATGAGCCCATGAGCACGCGGGTGGGCAGTGCAAGGGGCAGCACTTTTGTGAAAAGCGGAACCGGACCCGGTTTTTCAATTTAGCGGACGGTCGCGGAACCAACCAACCACGTAAGCATCCCCATAAGGGAAATGTCACATGTTCACATGATCGCGTTCTGTAGAGTATGTTCAACCCTCAGGAGCATTCAAAATCGTTGTGAATTCATTCTATGAACTCAATTAATGCTCCTTCCAGGCCCAACAATTTTGACAATGCCAGGCACCAGCTGGGGCCACAGTCAGATATATTTCACAGAGTACAAAGTGTATGGACTCAAATCATGCCACCTGCAGCGTTTTGCGCGGCCAGCACCATGCTTCACAAACCCAATTCTTCGGAACATCAAAGATGTGCCAAAAAAAAGTTTCTCGTTACTGTACATTGACCTTATGTACTGATGCGTGAATCAAAGGTCAGCCCAAACATAATGTCACACACTTCAGTTCCACCATTCTGAGTGAACTGGAAGTTGCAGGGAGCTCAGGAAGTGGTTTAAACATGACAGGCAACCTCCCAGGGCAATTTCCCAGACAAAAAAGAATGGCTCCCGGTTTTGAATTTTCAACCTCACGGTCGGACCAACCAACCAGGTCCGGGTCCGGCTCTCACGGTCCGGCAGCCCCTTGGGGCAGTGCGACAGCGGACATTGAAAATGAGCCCGCACACGCTCTTACATAAGATGGTCAGCGGCAGACATCGGCAATGGGACTCAAGTCCCACCTTTTTGGCCAAAAATGGGATTCGGCCATCAAAAGTGGGACTGGGCGAGTCCCAGTCCCACTATTCTCGTATATACTCCCCGTTGGCGTCAGGAAGTTCTCCCGATCTCTTGCACAACGAAACAAACTCAATCCACGACGGGTCACGTCTGCCTATAGATCGCTTTGAGCCCGCGTCCGGCCTGTCTTCCTTGATCTCTCTTAACATATCTCGCATCTTAGTTGGAAGGTTAAGTGGTTACTGCGCATTCCAACTATCTTAGGCTCATATCATGACTTAAATAAAGACGAACCAGAGTTACCAGACACCACAAGTTTAGAAAAGCATCACCGCTGTACAACTGGCGCTCCCGTTGGTCTGTTAGAGATCGCGGGTTCAATCACTCGGTTTCCAAGACTACTGTCCCTATCTTTGATCTTTTGTTCTACCTTGCAGACGCAGAGTCCAATTTTGCCCTTCCCATTTCCAGTTACCCCACGGGCGTCAAAGCAAGTAAATGACATGCAGGCCTGAGAGAACACCACTCCACAAGCTTCACAGCTTCACCGGGCAGTCCTTTTCAAGTTGCAAATCTCTGGTAAACACATACGACGCAGAATCGCCGCGATCAAACAATCAAAAGCGATCGACATGCTACGGGCCCGACTCTTAGGTACCTTGGGTTCCCTAGCCACCTTCCGGGAGTTGAGACGAATAGTCTAGATTCATTGATGAATGATCCACGCCGACAAAGTTGGTTGGCCACGCGAATGGTGAGCGTTTCAACTTCATTTTAACGCATGGTCATGGTGGTACTACTATTCAATCTGCTTCGGAAGAGATGATGGTCAGTGGGCAACTTCTTATTACTGTGGTATTTCGACCAAATATTCATGGGGCACCGGTCACGTCACCAGTGACCGTAAATATTCAATTTTGAAATTTTGAGGTCATTAAGTCGCCTTTTCAGGTATATCTTCTATCCGGAACGAAAAACTGCTTATTTGGAAAAACCTCCAGGACTATATATGTTGTGATACTTCTTCAATAGATGATATTCTCGTGCCAACGTACTGTTCTATTTCATTCAATTCGAATGTCATCGTCACTTGATTTCTGGACACCCCGCTATTATTATTTTTCTCGACAAGTTTTTACTGATTTTTGGGCGAGATTCCTCTTCCCGCCTCCAAAGGCTTGATAGAACCACCTACGACACAAATTGGTGAGCTTT